CTTCTAATCATGGGGACGGCGACAGACTGGAGAAACAGCTCACCTCTAAAATGACTTGAATAACCCTGCTACTCTTTTTTTAGAAACTCTAGAGATAATTTTCTGTTCCAACATGTTAGACACAGAGGGGAGCAAACACCCAAGCTACTTGACCTCATCATAACAAACGAGGAGGGTATGGTGGCTAAACTGGAACACCTTGCCCCAGTTGGCTCCAGTCACCATATAGTGTTGTCATTCAGATTTAACTACTTAGTTCACATGAGGTGGGCGGGAGGTTGCATTGGGATGAGGGGTGAGATGAGTATCCACTGCCTGGCCCATTAAGGCATAAGAACGCAGACACTACGCTGAATATCTTACCTAGTAAAGTGACCCATTTGATAGATAAACATATACCCAGCATACCCAGTGTCTCTTGGAATACGAGGGATCCCTACACATGAACCATGCTGACTAACATAGAAGGAAGATTCACAGCTGGCCAGTATTTAAATACTGAAGAAGTTATGCTTCCTCGGTGCGTGCATATGCTTTTCAGTACAATGAGTAAACCCCATTGGTGGTTTAGATGGCAGTAACCATGAGGCCAGCCTTACTTCCCAAGAATAATGGCGTGGATTTGTTTGATAAGGGTGGTCAGTTAGACTCATAAGCGCCATCAAGGGTATCAAGTGCTCTTTAGAGGTAAACATATTCCTTATATTACTGTGAAGGATGATGAAGTTGTGATATTTAACTGCAGAGTTTTAGGGAATGTAGTGATGGAAAACCTGTGGAGTCCATGTAATCATTCTTTTTATTATCCCTTGGACCCCGAGGATGTTGGCTGACGATTTATTTTGGCCGATAATTAGATTGATGGAGAACTAGTACCTAAAAGCCATTCAGCGCCAGAGAAGGTCTTTGTGAGATGTTTGGGATAAAAGCGGGTTGCTGTCTACTAACGAATCTCCAATAATATGCTTTAAGTGTTGCAAATGGGCACATGGCGTGGAAATGCTATAATGATTTTCGATGGAGATTCGCATGACTCTAAGGTATGTGGAGATAAAATTAAGGCGAAGGAGAAAATTACACCAAAATGATGTAATAATGCCAGGTGGAGGTGTCCTAAAATACCTAAGTTCATCAATTGTAGACGAGCTCAGCCACTAATCAGGATATGGTGTCGCTGTACAGAGCGATGTTGCAGGACACCAAGTCTGTAAATATAAAAGGTAGCAACACCGTACTTAGAAGGGCATAGGTAACGCAATAACCTTTAGCCCCTAACATTGTAGTAGAACTCAGTAAGGAGATTGATGAGCTTAAACAAGTATAGGATAACAAGAAATGCTTGGTAGATCTTGTGCCATATAGTGATGATGCTGTTATAAAGATAGTTTAAAATGGCATGGGGACCAGTACTGTAGGCAGCGCGGTGGCCATGCCTCTGGTTCGCACTCTGCCTTCGATGTCGAGCGAATTGACAGTGACTACATAAGAACATCAAGATCGTCTTAGTGATGTGAAAGTGTAAATCTATGTAGGATTTTTAAGCTAGAGGCTTTGAAAACTCATTTCCACCGAGTTGAGTACAGCCAAGGTGCATCCTCACTTCGTGACATTGAATCTCAGCAGCCATTTCTTCAACCATTTGGAGCCCACAGAGGTCTGGTGACGTCTCTCCAACTGCCTGCAACTGGCGAGCCACAGCCACCACCTGCTACCGCTTTCCCTAGCAACCAACCGTATGTACGATCTTAGCAACGGAACCAGGAACCTGCGACTTTCTGGGTACAAGCGGCTGCTGGGTATATAAGCTCTGTCTCTCCATTGAGATTCATTCTTGACCATCTTCTTGAACAAGCAACACCTCTCTCCTCCGCTGCTGCCTGGTAGCCCTCGCTTCTCCTCGCCTGCCTGGCGGTCCTCGCCCCAGCCAGCAAGCACCCACCAGCTGTCCTTCTGAGCTTCCTCACCAACCAGCTTTCTCATTCTGGTCTCTTCTTGAACAAGCAACACCTCCTCTCAGCAAGCTCCACGCTGTCAGCATTCATTCAACGGTATGCCAGCAACAGGCAACATCTTCTACTCCTGCATCTACCTCCTTCAACACGCCATTCAAACTGTTGCAGCTCGAGGCACCTCCAGCACCAGACTGTAAATCATATAACTTATATTATACAAGAAAAACCACTAGATCTATCCATCCTGAGTGCTAGACAACATTAATATCACGATACCCCTACAATGGTGACTCCCGGATTAACAGGATGGAGGAGACACTGATCACGCCCCGCCCAGCATAGAAGAATTTATCCACACAGAAGCAGCTCTGTTACTCTAAGCAGACACCAGCCTCTTCCTGCCCCAAGCACCACATCCTGACACCCCAGCACACCCGCCCTGCTTCAGACGCCGACCCCGCCCAGCAGTGAACCCCTGCCTCTGACGCTGCCTGTTCCTGTACCCACACACCCCTCTTTTCCCCTGTGTCCTCCCTACTGCTGCTGTCGTGGACCCAGCTGCTGTCACGAGCCCTAATCCGCTTCTGCTGACGCAGCCCCTGCTCCCGAGCAGGCCCACACACCCCAGCAGGCGCATCTGACTACCCCTGTACCTGCCGAGGAAGCACACAACATTCATCGCCTCCACACACCCTCTTTTCCTCAGGTACTCCTGCTAATGTCCTGCACCCTGCTGCTGTCGTGACCCAGCTGCTGTCACGAGCCCTAATCCGCTGCTGACGCAGTCCCTGCTCCTGACCCAGGCCCACACACCCCAGCAGGCGCATCTGACTACCCTGTACCTGTCGAGGGAAGCACACATTCATCGCCTCCACACACACCTTCTCCTGACAGATAGTGTGTATCTAGACAGTTGTATTTCAGCGATCGGCTCATTCACGCCATCGCCGTTGTCTCACATGAGGCATGCACCGCCTGCTGGGAGTATTAGTGGACGTCTCCCTACAAATGCATTACAGCCACCACCTGCTACCGCTTTCCCTAGCAACCAACCGTGAACTTAGCAACTAAACTTACTGGTTTTCCCAATACACTCATGCGCTGCTGGTATATAAGCTCTGTCTCTCCATTGAGATCATTCTGACCATTCTTCTGAACAAGCAACACCTCCTCCTCTGCCTGTGCTCTCGCCTCCGCCAGCTGCAGCATGGCGACCCACCAGCTGCCCTCTAGCTTCTCACCAACCAACTCTCATTCTGGCTCTTCTGAACAAGCAACACCTCCTCCAGCAAGCCCACGCTGTCAGCATTCATTCAACCAGGAGGCCAACAGGCAACATCTTCTAACGAAGCTCCTGCACTTCCTTCAACACGCCACTCACCGAACGTCTCTACTGAGCAGCTCCTCACCACACGGCACCCAGCACCAGACTGTCTATCATATAACTTATTATATAAGAAAACCACATTAGAGTTTCCTTCCACTCGATACCCTACAATTGTAGAGGACGTCTTCCTACAACTGCGTGAGCCATTGGCCACCACCTGCTACCGCTTCTTCCCTAGCAACCAACCAGATGCCGTAACTTAGCAACGAAACTAGTCGGAGACTTCGGTTTTTCCCAACATGACTCATAGCGCTGGGTATATAAGCTCTGTCTCCATTGAGATTCATTCTGACCATTCTTCTTGGATAACACCTCCTCCCTCCGCTGCCTGGCTGCCTTCGCTTCTTCCGCCTGCCTGCCTTCCCGCCAGGAAAGCATGCACTCCACCAGGTGTCCTTCTCTGAGCCTCCTCACCAACCAGCTTTCTCATTCTGCCCATCTTCCTGAACAAGCAACACCTCCTCCAGCAAGCTCCACGCTGTCAGCATTCATTCAGGAGTACAGCAACAGGCAACATCTTCATCGCTCCTGCACATCTACCTCCTTCAACACGCTACTCAATCAACGTCTCTACTGAGCACTACCACACGCACCTAAGCACCAGACTGTCTATCATATAACTTATATTATATAAGAAAACCACATTAGAGTTTCCTTCCATCCTGAGTGCTAGACAACATTATACCTTGATACTCTACAATTGTAGGGACGTCTTCCTACAACCGCGTGAGCTCTCACCACTACCTGCTACCGCCTTCCCTAGCAACCAACCAGATGTTTCAGTATCTTAGCAATCGAACTAGTCACTGAGACTTCTCAGTTTTTCAACATGACTCATAGCGGCTGCTGGGTATATGTCTCCATTGAGATTCATTCTGACCATTCTTTCAAACACCTCCTCCTCCCGCTGCCTGGTCTGCCTTTCAGGCCTCGCTTTCTGCCTGGCGCCCTCGCCCCGCCAGCGGCGCCTAATTCACCAGGTGTCTTCTGAGCCTCACCAACCGTCTATTTCCTGAACAAGCAACATTGCAAGCTCCACGCTGTCAGCATTCATTCAACCAGGAAGCAACAGGCAACATCTTCAACGAAACTCCTGCACATCTACCTCCTTCAACACGCTTACTCAATCAACGTCTCTACTGAGCAGCTCATCACCACACGGCACCTCCAGCACCAGACTGTCTATCATATAACTTATATTATACAAGAAAACCACATTAGAGTTTCTTCCATCCTGAGTGCTAGGGACAAATATTACATCTCGATACCCCTACAAATGGTGATCTCGGAGATTAGCATCACACAGGATGGAGGGAGACACTGATCACGCTCCCAGTCTTCAAGCAGACACCGCCTCTTCCTGCCCCAAGCACCACATTCACCCCAGCCCACCCGTCCTGCCACACGCTGACCCAGACCCACACACCCCAGCAGGCGCATCTGACGACTCAGTACTCTGCGGGAAGCACACAACATCCATCGCCTCCACACTCTTTTCTCCCTCAGGTACTCCCTGCTAATGTCCTGCACCCTGCTGGACCCAGCTGCTGTCACGAGCCCTAACCGCTGACGCGAGCCCCTGCTCCTGACCCAGGCCCACACGCAGGCTTGACACCTGTACCGTCGTGGAGGGAAGCACAACATTCATCGCTTCCACACACCTTCTTTTCTCCCTCAGGTTGCTAATGTCCTGCACCCTGCTCTGCTGTCGGGGACCCAGCTGCTGTAAGCCCTTATCCTCAGCGACGCGAGAGCCCCTGCTCATGACCCAGGCCCACACAGCAGGCGCATCTGACGACCCTGTACCTGTCGTAAGGGAAGCACAACATTCATCGCCTCCACACCCTCTTCCTTCACAGATAGTGTGTATCTAGACAGTTGTATTTCACACGCCTCGTCTCTATTCTACCTAACATGAGGCATGCACCTCCCGGTCTGCCCTCACATGTTAAGCAACTCTACAGACAACAAGTCTCCTACACCGCCTGGACGGAAGGGGGAGTATTGTAGTGGACGCCTCCCTACAACTGCCTACAACTGCGAGCCACCACCGCTACCGCCTTCCCTAGCAACCAACCAGATGTTAATGATCTTAGCAACGGAACCAGGATGGCTCAACATGATCATAGCGTGCTGGCGTATATAAGCTCTGTCTGAGATTCATTCGACCATCTTCTGAACAAGCAACACCCTCCTCCTCCACCGCTGCCTGGTAGCCCTCGCTTCTCCTCGCCTGCCTGGTCCTCGCTTCCCAAAGCACAGCTTAGGGCGAGCCACCACCAGCTGTCCTTCTCTGAGCTTCCTCACTTTCTAATTTGGTCTCTTCTTGAACAAGCAACACCTCCTCCAGCAAGCTCCAGCATCCGTAGGACAGCAACAGGCAACATCTTCTAACGAAGCTCCTGCACATCTACCTCCTTCAACACGCTTACTCAACGAACGTCTCAAACGAGCAGCTCTCACCATACGCACCTCCGGTACAGACTAAATCATATAACTTATGTTAGTACAAGAAACCACCTTAGAGTTTCCATCCATCCTGAGTGCTAGACAACATTAATATCGCGATACCCTACAGGTCCTTCTGCAGCTATTCACAGTCCGCTTGGTTTTTGATTTCCGGCGTCATCGGAAGTATTTGTATGGAGGAGTGCAACGTCAGGCATGTTATTTATGAAACAATCAAACAAATAGTACCGCCCTGTGAAGCCATGCAGGTACGGATGACGATTTCGTACTCATGAATACACTGCTGCGTCTAGAAAGTCTTCCATAGGACATCGAATTCCGTACTTTCCAGTTTGATTTTCAGCCTCGTGGGGTACACTTGTCGAAAACCTTAAAATCTAGGTAAATATTGTCGATATTACTACCCCGTTCCAGAATATGAGTCCAAATATCCAATATCTTAGGCTACTTTAGAGCAACCCGGAATAAACCGTGTTGGCAATGTTAAGGTTTTTCAGATGTTCCATTGCAGCATCTCCGATACTCAAGTATCACATATTGTGCTGGTCAGGAGTGACGAGGCTCTTTTTGAAGATAGGACTCACATAAGCCACTGAACATTTTTTCTCATCCAGGCATTTACAAAACAGTATCTTCAGGGGCTTGGCAAGCTCGTTGCACAACTCTCTTAGCACTCTAGGATGCACCATGTCAGAGCCGGACTCTATGGACTTTTAGCTTTGACGTTTATTCTAATACCCTTCTGTGAACACAATGTGGGTCAGTGCTGTCGAACCGGCTGTCATCAAACGAGGAAGGTTAACGTATACTCGCTTATGAAAACCGAGGAGCTGTTCAATGCCTCAGCTTTATCCTGGTCAGAATCGTAACTATCTTCAAACTTTCAGGTCTGATTTATTTCGCGTTTTTAATTTCGACTTTGCATAGCGGTAAAACGCTTGTTTGACTTGACCCGCTTGAAACCAGCCTCTGGAACACCTTTTCAGCATTTCTACATTCTATCTTTGCTTGGCTCTTATGCATATCCACCTGTTCTGCTCATCGTTCTGACCCACCTACTGGGTTTTCTCTTACTTTGTCGACCGCCGCGTCGTTCATGTGTAGGATCCCCTCGTATTCCTAGAGACACTGGGTTTGGTATTGGGTATATATTTATCGATCAAATAGGTCACTTTACTAGTTATATTCAGTGTAGTGTCTGCGTTCTTGTGCCTTAATGAGTAGGCCAGTTGATACCTCTCATCTCTTCCCTCATCCCGTGGTAATTTCCTTGTAATATTTGCACCTTGGCCTGGCCTTATCCTGAACTAGGTAACAGTTAAATCTGAATGACAACACTATATGGTGACTGGTGCCAACTGAAGAGTCATTCCAGTTTGGCCACCTCCTCGTTTTTATTTGCTGAGGTCTAGTGGCTGGTGTTTGCTCCTGTAGGGGTTTCGAGATATTAATGTTGTCTAGCACTCAGGATGGAAGGAAACTCTAATGTGGTTTTTCTTGTATAATATATAAGTTATATGATAGACAGTCTGGTGCTGGAGATGCCGTGTGGTGGGGAGCTGCTCAGTAGAAGCGTTCGGTGGTAGCGTGATGAAGGTAGATGTGCAGGAGCTTCGTTAGAGAAGATGTTGCCTGTTGCTGGCCTCCTGGTTGAAATAATTGTTAACAGCGTGGAGCTTGCTGGAGGAGGTGTTGCTTGTTCAGGAAGATGGGCAGAATGAGAGTTGGTTGGTGAGGAAGCTCAGAGAAGGACAGCTGGTGGGTCGCCATGCTCGCTGGCGGAGCGGGGACCACCAGGCAGGCGGGGAAGGCCGCCAGGCAGCAGAGGAGGGAGGTGTTGCTTGTTCAAGAAGAATGGTCAGACTGAATCTCAATGGAAACCAGCAGCAGTATATGAGTCATGTTGGAAAACAGAAAGTCGCCGGTGACTGGTTCCTTGCTAGATACGGTAACATCTGGTTGGTGGAAAGAGCTAGCAGGTGTGTGGCTGATTAATAGGAGAGACGTCCACTACAATACTCCTCCCCTCCAGGCGGTGTAGGAGACTTGTTGTCTGTAGAGTTGCTTGCACATGTGAGGCAGACCGGGCGGTGCGTGCCTCATGAGACAACGGCGATGGCGTGATGAGCCGATCGCTGAAATCATACAGATACACTATCTGTGGGAGAGGGAGAAAAGAGTGTGTGGAGCGATGGTTGTGCTTCCTCACGACAGGTACAGGGGTCGTCAGATGCGCCTGCTGGGGTGTGTGTGGGCCTGGGTCAGGAGCAGGGGCTACGTCAGCAGAAGCGGATTAGGGCTCGTGACAGCTGCGGTCGGCAGCAGCAGGGTGGAACATGTAAGTACCTGGGGAGAAAAGAGTGTGGAGGCGATGGATGTTGTGTGCTTCCTCGGCAAGTACTGAGTCGTCAGATGCGCCTGCTGGTTGTGTGTGGGCCTGGGTCAACATCTGAGGCAGGACAGGTGTGCTGGGGTCGTAGGATGTGGTGCTTGGGGCAGGAAGAGGCAGTGTCTGCTTGAAGACTGGGAGCGTGATCAGTGTCTCCTCCATCCTGTGTGAGTGCTAATCTCCGGGTCACCATTGTAGGGGTATCGAGATTTTAATGTTGTCTAGCACTCAGGATGGAAGGAAACTCTAATGTGGTTTTCTTGTATAATATATAAGTTATATGATAGACAGTCTGGTGCTGGAGATGCCGTGTGGTGGGGGCTGCTCAGTAGAAGACGTTCGTGAGTAGCGTGATGAAGGAGGTAGATGCAGGAGCTTCGTTAGAAGATGTTGCCTGTTGCTGGCCTCCTGGTTTGAAATAAATGTTAACAGGTGGTGCTGGAGGAGGTTGCTTGTTCAGGAAGATGGGTAGAATGAGATTGGGTGAGGCTCAGAGAAGGACAGCTGGTGGGTCGCCATGCTCGCTGGCGGGAGCGAGCCGCCAGGCAGGCGGAGAAGCGAAGGCCGCCAGGCGAGGCGGAGGAGATGTTGCTTGTTCAAGAAGAATGGTCAGACTGAATCTCAATGGAGAGACAGATATATACCCAGCAGCAGCCGCTATGAGTCATGTTGGAAAACCCAGAAAGTCGCCGGTGACTGGTTACGTTGCTAGATATGGTAACATCTGGTTGGTTGCTAGGAAGGCGGCACATTGGAATGCGATACGCAGTTTGTAGGGGAGACGTCCACTACACTCCTCTGTAATGTGTCGGTCTCTAACATGTTGGAACAGAAAACTATCTCTCAGAGTTTCTTCAAAAAGTGGCAGGGTTATTCATCATTTGGTTGAACTCGTTTCTCAGTCGATGTCATAGTTAAGTCCCCCATGATAAGGAGGTGGCTAGAGTTGAGCATCGCCGCATTGTCGCTTAAGGCTCTAAGTTCCTTTGATTGTAGATACCGACGTTAATAAAGTCCTCCTTTAATTTAATTTTACACCGGATCTTGAAAAACATCTCTCCTGTACCCTCTCCTGGCTAGCTCTAAGGTCTTGCCTAGCATATAAACCACACCCTCTTGCAAGATTTCTTGAAAGGTTCGTAAATGAGGGCCAGGGGCAGCTCCCAGGCCTTTACATTAGACGATGTTCTTTCACGACACTCCTGATGCATTTTATCGTGACTTGAAAATCATAAAACTAATATAAAGGCTCTTCTGGAGCCCTGCTGGTTGACAAACTGGAGCAAGTTGGGAAAGAGGTGATTGCTAAGAGGTTATGCTGACGTATTAGGAGGGCCACGGAGGGCGGAGAGTATGCAGGACTTTGAAGAAGTGTGTGAAGAAATGAAAATTAACGGACCTACTGTTGGAGAGAGGAAACAGGAACGTCTCCAGCACAAGAACAATGTAATAGTTTTTGTAGTCCCAGAGAGCCAGGCGGAGGGAATGTGAGTAAGGAAACACACGATAAGGTGCTGTTTCAAAATATTTGCACAGAGGTTCTGAAGATTCCATCAACCCTCAGGATGTGAGGAGGCTGGGACAAAAGCAGGGGCAGCCTCGCCCTCAGGATATCACACTAGTGAGTGAGGAGGAGAAATGGCAGGTTATTCGGCAGGCAAAAAATTAGCAAGGAGCGAGCATTTCGGGATGTATTCATTCACCCAGACCGCATGGCAGAGGAACAGCACAGCTCCTGCAGGACTTGAAGCAGAGGGAGGAGTCGAGGAGGAACGACAGGTGTACATGGGCTATACTCAGGAGGGTAGTGGAAACAAGTGTGCCGACACAGGCCAGGGGCAGCAGTGCACCCTCCACCCACCTCAACCCCACCCGGAGGCGGCACCAGCTCAGCCTACCGGACAGGAGGGGCGCGCCGTGTAAACAATGACATTTCTAACCACACCCTGCAAAATACAGTGTACTTAGCAAATGCTGCAGCTTCTGAGAATGTGGGGGAGCGAATTTATTACTAAGAACAGAGACGCTACCGAGAACAAATTCTGGCTTGAATGTCATGTACACTACTAACACGTTCCTCGATAAGAGAGAGGAGTTTGAAACACTACTAAGAGTACACCAACCAGATATTGTAGGTGTTGTAGAACTGTTGTACAAGAACAGGAGAATCGACCCAGAGGAATGTGAGTTCAGTATTGCTGGATATGACTCATTTACGAACCTTTCTCAAGAAACTTGCAAGAGGTGTGGTTATCTATGCTAGGCAAGACCTTAGAGCCAGCCAGGCGAGGGTACAGGAGAGAATTTTTTGAAGAGTCCAAGTGGTGTAAAATTAAATTATAGGAGTGGACTTACTTATCGTCGGGTGTATCAACAGATCCCCAAACTGTGGCCCACTAAAGCAAAGGAACTTAAGAACCTTAATAAACAGCGCGGCGATGCTCAACCCTAGCCACCTCCTTATCATGGGGGCTTTAACTATGGCGACATCGACTGGAGAAACGAGTCCACCCGAATGACTTGAATAACCCTGCTACTCTTTTTGTAGAAACTGAGATAATTTACTGTTCCAACATGTTAGAGACCCGACACACTTAAGAGAGGAGCAAACACCAAGCCACTTGACCTCATCATAACAAACGAGGGGGGTATGGTGGCCAACCGAACACCTTGCTCCAGTTGGCACCAGTCACCATACAGTGTTGTCATTCAGATTTAACTGTTTTAGTTCAAGATAAGGCCTGGCCAAGGTGCAAATTTTACAAGGGAAATTACAATGGGATGTGGGGTATCAACTGGCCTGACTTATTAAGGTACAAGAGCGCAGACACTACGCTGAATATCATAACTAGTAAAATGACCCATTTGATCGATAAATATATACCCAAGACCAAACAGTGCTTCTAGGAATACGAGGGAT